TCCGGGGGCTGCCCGCCGCCGGCGGTTCCGAATCGGATCCCCGGTGCGCACCTTACAGTGTCAGATGCGATGTACGCACGAACTCCGGCGCGCCGACCTTTCCTTATTCTGCTGCGTTCGACACACCGATGAACGTCCCCGCTTCGCTAGGAATGGCTTCGATGGACTTCTCTTCCCTTCTCCCACCCCGGAGTTGATAAAGGGCTATGGGGATTGCGACGAAGTTCAACTGTTACTCTGTGCAGTGAATGCTGCTTGAATGTAAGGGGGCAAAGGAGCAGGTAGTGGAGAAAAACCGACTAAGCCTCGGAGACCTGGGTCCCATTGCTTGTTCTAGCTTCTTAGACGGGTGCGAGGCCCTTCTTCTCTGCGGTCGTGGTCAGCAAAGAAGGGACCTTGATGCTTGGCCTGCCTACCCACTACGGCTGTTGGCAAGGATCAAATGATTGGTGTGAAAATGCTTTTCAAACTGTACAGTATACAAAGAATGTTAAATGTGACTATTGTTCAGTTCACCTGACAGTCCTGCAAAATGCCTTATCCGGATCGTCACTGAGTGTAGAATGTTCTGATAACACTGCCCTACAGAATAACCCCCACTAGAGACAGGAAATAGCTCGGCCAGCCCACCTCCACGTCTGTCCTTTGCTTATATATTTCGTCCTCTAGCTTACTAAACTTCTATCAGACTGCTATACTTGCTATCAAGGAAACAGCAAGAAGACAGAATACTCTTCATTTCGTCTTTGAATGACTCCAGAAAGGCTGCACTCAATATGCCATAGCTTAATAACTGCATTTCACCTTGAGATAGTAGGCCTTGTCTTCTGGACACAGGCATTTTTATTTAAATCATATGTACATATTATAACTACATTGTGTTTATAACATGCCAAACGTTTATTCTTCTAAGCAGTCTCACAAGGCTTATTTTTTTTTTTAGAGGTTTTTTGCTATAGGGCCTGTGCGCTCGCCAGACAGACAGAGAGAGACAGAGAGATAGAAAGCGAGAAATCTCCCCTCAGGGGGGATGGCCACGCCTCAATCCCTTCTCCTCCATTCTCCTCTCGGGATCTTGGGCATGCACGCACACACGCCAGGCGTGAGTTTAAGCAGCTGGCTCCAGGACGCGAACCGTGGTCGACTACTTGGGAGTCCAGCAACATAGCCATTACGCTAATTGCTGGTCCCACAAGGCTTATTTTTTTTAGAAGTTTATTTATGGGTTTCTTCCTTGAGAGAGGGAAGTACCTCCACCAGGGTCTTTGCACAGTAGCCCACCCCCAGTCTCTGCTGGCCCAGCATGCTCAGGGACTGAACAGTGGCCTTTTCCCAAGTAGGTCCAGGCCTATTACCTCTACCACCACCTGGTCCCGTATAAAGGCACTGTTAATATTTACAAGTGAGAAAACTATGACTTAGATGTGACCACGTCTCAGCTCCTCTATCAGTATCAAAGTTAGGACTTAAGTCACTCCAGGGGACCAGTGGGTGGGTGGTGCTTAAGGCTCTGGACACTCCCACATGGCCAACAAGGGTTGGAGTCCTGAACCGGGTGGCTTGCTTCCTCTCTCTCTCTCTCTCTGTGTTCATGTGTATGTTGTCAAATTAAAAATAAAGGAATGAATAAATAAAGTTAAGTAAAATAATTCCTTTTTTAAAAAATCATTCCAAATGACTCCAGAGTCATGTGTCTTCTTTTTCTTTTTTTTTTTAAATACTTATATGGGGCCAGCAGGTGGTGTGGTGATTAAATGCGTTGGACTCCCACATGGCTCACCACAGTTCGAGTCCTGGACCTGGTGGCCCGCTTTCTTACTTTACCTCCCTCTCTCTCAGTCTTTCTCTGGTCAAATTAAGAAACAATAATAAGTAGTGCCAGCAGGTGGTATGGTGGCTAGGGGCGCTGGACTTCCACAGGGCCAGCCACAGTTTGAGTTCAACCACAGTTTGAGTTCAACCACAGTTTGAGTCCCGGATCTGGCGGCTTGCTTTCTCACGTTCCCTCTCAGTCTCTTACTCTCTCTCGAATTCAGTCCCTCTTTGGTCAAATTTAAATAAATAAATAAAGTTGAATAAAACAATTATGTTTAAAAAGAATTATGTAGTGAACTTTATTTAATTTGCTATAAGGCATGCACACTCACCAGAGAGAGAGAGAAACACAGAAAGTGAGAAAGCAAGCCACCAGGTCTGGGACTCAAACAATAGTCTGCCACTTGGGAGTCCACCACCTTAACTACCACACCATCTGCAGAGCCCTGAATCTTTAACTCAGTTGTCTAGAGCTGTCAGAATTAAAAGTCATCCTTGGGGCTGGCAAGTGGCATGGTGGTTAAGGTGCTGGACTCCTACATGATTGACTGAGGTCCAAGTCCCTAGTGGCTTGCTTTCTCACTTTCCCTTTCTGATAAAATTTCAAAATAATAAATAATAACAAATAACATGAATAAATAATTTTTTTAAATAAAATAAAAATAAAAGTCATCCTCAAATTTGGGGTACAGGAGATGGTATGATTACGTCACTGGACTCCCATATAGTTGACTGTGGTTTGAGTCCCAGACCTGGTGGCTTAAAACTCATGCTGGTTGTGTGTGCGTGCGTGCCCAAGATCCAGAGAGGAGAATGGAGAAGAAGGGATTGCAGCGTGGCCATCCCCACTGGGGGGAATTTCTTACTTTCTGTCTCTCTGTCTCTCAGGCAAGCGCATGCACCCTATAGCAAAAATCTCAAAAAAAGGTCATCCTCCAGCAGTTAGCGTAATGACTATGTCTCTGGACTCCCACGTAGTCGACCACAGTTCGAGTCCCGGACCTGATGGCTTAAACTCACACTGGGCGCGTGTGCGTGCGTGCCCAAGATCCCGAGAGGAGAATGGAGGAGAAGGGATTGCGGCGTGGCCATCCCCCCGAGGGGTGATTTCTCACTTTCTGTCTCTCTGTTTCTCTCTTTCTGGCGAGCGCACACGCCCTATAGCGAAAAACCTCTCAAACAACAACAACAACAACAACAAAAAGTCATCCTCAAATGTAAAGGCAGTAAAAGCCCAACAGAGCCTTTTCTACCTTCCTACACTTCCAATAACCAAGTTTGAGTCTTCCCCCACTTTGAGACATTAGTTAATTATACTTCTTTTTTCAGCCCTTTTTGACATTTCCTACATGTGGAATGGAGGTGAGAGGTAGAAATATTAAAAATGAAAAAGCTAGAGAAGGATTAGGCCCTTCTTTCCTGAAAATTTGGAAAAACAAAAACTCAAATTATTTGAAATGTACAGGGTATTTGATGCAGCATTATTTGTAACTGGAAAATTAGAAACAACCTAAATACCCAACATAGAGAATGTGTTAAATAAATCATGATTACATGATACAATACTATTCAACTTTGGAAGGTAGAATCCGTGAGTTACTTCTATATCTTCTTCATATTTTAGCTATTTTCCAGTAGATATGTATTTATATGTCTCCAGGGGCCAGCAGGTAGCGTAGTGGTTAAGGACTATGGGCTCCCCCGTGGCCAACCGCAGTTTATAGTCTCCAACCCAGAAGCTTGAAACTCGCACAGGGCACACATGAGTGCATGCCCAAAATCCCAAGAGAGTGGAGGAGAAGGGATTGTGGCTTGACCATCCCCCCTAGGGAGGTGACTTCTCGCTTTCTGTCTCTCTGTCTTGGTCTGTTTCTCCGCAAGCACATATGCCCTATAACAAAAATCTCTCTCTCAAATAAAAACCATATATTTGAATGTATTCAAGTGATAAAATCATGTTTAAAAAACTTTGTATAGGGACCAGCAGGTGGTGTGGTGGTTAAGGCGCTGCACACTCCCACATGGCCAACCCCGATTCGAGTCCCAGACATAGTGGCTTGCTGTCTCTCTTTCTCTCTCTCTCTCTCTCTCTCTCTCTCTCTCTCTCTCTCTCTCTCTCTCTCTCTCTCTCTCTCTCTCTCTCTCTCTCTCTCTCTGTGTGTGTGTGTGTCTGGTCAAATTAAAAAATAAATGAATGGATAAATAAATAAATATATTTTTAAAAACTTCATATAGGGACCAGCAGGTGGCATGATGGTTAGAAGTGCTGGACTCCCATACGGCCAACTGTAGTTCGAATCCTGGACCCAGTGGCTTACTTTCTCACTTTCTCTCTCTCTCTCACTCTGTCTTCCTCTGGTCAAATTAAAATAAATAAATAAATAAATAAAGTTCAATAAACTAATTCTTTTTTTAAAAAAGTTTGTATATTGGGAACCAGCAGTTAGCGTAATGGCTATGTCACT